TGCAACGGAATCGGAAATCCGCGCGTCACGCGTTTCGCTAAAGTGACACGTGAATTTATAAAAGTCCGCCCTCGCGTATCGCGACGAAAGACCGACGATCCCTCATGTGCACGTACACAACAATGCGAGATTCCGCGAATCGCGATCGTACACGGCAGCGTGTTCTCCGTGGCTTTGAATCACTTCTACGACTCGACAATGCGAGTAGAATTGGAAATGCCAAATCCGCCTGCTCCCTAGGCTGTATATATACGCGGATATGTACGGCTCCCGCTATATGTTTACACGCATATGTACATACACGCCGCACTTATACAGGGTGGTCCGCTTAACGGCGCACCGTCTCGTAAATTATTATATTTCAATAGCTTTGACGCACCAGATCAACGGATATTCATCTCTCGATATTAAATGTTACATTTTATGGATACGATGCGGAAATTTTACCTACATTTACATATATAATCCTTTTCCATGCTTTCTGCAAACAGAAGCAATCAGGCAGCGGGGAATACCACATATATATGTAGCAAGAACATGGAAATAATGAAATAGTCGTGTAAAGCTCGAGAAACCGAAATCAAATTGGCCAGCCTGTTCATGTATCTGTTCATTTGCATATAGATCCGTGATATAATACCGTGATATAATACCGTGATATAATACCGGATATTTCGATTACGGCGGAGCGGGTTTGACGTTCGGCATGGCGCGAGGTAGAGGTATATCTTGCTGGGAGATCTGGATCAAGCAAGGCTTCTCGACTCGAGTAATTAGTAGGTAGTATTCACGTACATGTACGCACGCGTCGATTCACTCGAAATAACCCAAACTACTAAATCCAGGCTGTCACCGGCAATAGGTAAGAACGCACAAATCAAACACGCGGAAATCTCACGAGAAGTGAGCAGTCCATATTCTTTTATTCAAAATAAGCAGACTATTTTATATAACTTCTAATTTATGTTCCACATAAATTTTCAGTAATTTTTTATGCGAAGCTTTGCTTTGCATAGTAAACATGTAGTTTCTTTCAGAGATATCTCTATCTACAGTTAATGTTCTAATTGTCTCTGCATATCTAATTATCGTAAATTTGACAAAGAAATCAAGAACTGGAGAAAATTTTATTGCTAATCTGTAATTGATTTTTTTTCGATAATAATAAATCATGAATACCTCGTCTATCTGTTGTCTATTTCGTGGGAGTAAGCTAGAGACTGGAGTGGTGTGATGTAACATAAGTATATTACATTCCACGCGTATATTTCGGTCGCAGAATACTATTTAGGGAATTTGACGAAATCGATACTGCGGCGCGAATGAGCGGTGGATGAACAGACGTTATGTGCATGCATATTCACGTGCACCTTTATTCACGCGAAATATGTACAGCTGCCACGGCCGTGTAGAATATGCGATCTCAAATTGAATCTATTCAAGTTCCGATATAAAAAGTACTGCATTCATTCGGCGTTATCTTGAATCAGTGAATCGACCGCGTGTGTTATGCCCTACAGATATTGTATGTTACACAGATAGATATACGCGCGATAGAACAATTAATTACACCGCCATCCATCGGACACGGATAAGTGAGATAAATGGAGATTATCAATACAAACATTTTATGAAGAACTGTTACCAAAAAAAATTGCGGAAATGAACGCTACACAGAGGATTAAAATAGAAACACTCGTCTCGTCGTTACTTTAACGCGTTGCGAGATTTGTGACTACTCACGAAAAAGAAACGGATCCTTTGCTTGCAAAACTTACGATTACGAAAAGAAAAATCAAGCAGTTCTTATATGGAAGTGAGAGCGATGTAAACACGCGAATACGAAAGTACAAAAACACCCCTTTTTACCTCTGGCTCTCTAATTAAGCACGATTAATCCCGAAGGTTCAGCAACGCTTCTTATCGTACATAATATCCCCTGATTTTCACGAGAGACTTAAAAGAACGACGATAATAACAATTTGAAAAAAATATGTAAAGCTATTTTTATTACATAGATTGATATAAGAATTGTATTCTTTATATTATAATTTTGTTGATATCCAACAAGTGAATTATTTTCTAAAACATTTCAATATACGTCTCTTAATTAAATTTGAAAACTCATAAAGATCAATAGCAATTGTTTCAATTTATAACTTAATTATATTGATATAACTGGTTGAGTATTTTACAATTGTTGATAATGTAAGTTAGATGAGTTTTTTTGCCATCAGCCATAAATTAAAAACATTTTAATAAAAATATTTTATACTATAGGTATACGTTATCGAATTGCATTAAAATATCATTTTTACTCCAATGAGAAATTTTAGTTTCATATTTTAGGCCTTCTATATGCATTGCATATTTGACATTTTATATTTGTAAATTTCACAACGTTCGTTATTGTTATAATTGTATAAGCGGATTCGTTAATATTTCGCATGCCAGAATATTGTTTCATGATGGAAGCCTTCAGGCTCTTGTCTTTACCATTAAAAATCGATTCGATACACATTTATGCGATACTGGTGATAGATTTTCTTCTTTTTAAATCTTTTTAAATATCGCGTAGGCACAATCGTTTTACAATATTGTTTTACAAATGAGCGAAATGCGTTGTAGATAATAAATATTTCATTTTCTAGGATATTATAAGTCAGATTATTATAAATTGTTAAGATGTTGATTGCAAAAATCTATGTTATGCATTTCACAAACAAACGTTATTGTTAAGAATAAAAGTTATCCTTAAAGATATCAGTGTATACTTACAATTAGAAATTGCTTTCACCACTTTATTTCCATTTGATTATTAAATGAATTTAAATAAGATGGCGAGATTTAACGAGCATAGAAAGCACGATGCCATTGAGAAATTGAGAATTATCCCAGTTATTGTCCGCGATTCTATCGGCTTTTCTCATTTAAAATATACCATTAATCTTTAATTAATGACCCTTATAAAAATCTTACATTGTATATATTTCATCACAGATCGTTAATACTAATGTAAAGATTCAATAGTTCGTTTGACTTTGCCGATATAGTAAAGCGTTTAGGCAAAATATTTAGCGAGAGAAGATTAAGAAACTAATATTTTTATTAATAAATATTAGTATAAGAATGAATCTCTTTACAAATATTAAAAATAATGCCGAAAATATGAGATGCTATAATTAATTTTTAGAAAGTTAAAGCCGAAATGTTGATTATAAAATCATTCCTATCTTTCAAAAAACAAACGCATTTAACTGCAATATTGATTTCTATGTTAGCTAAAATTTAAATTAGGGTTTTTGTGACATAAATATTAAACGCGCGTAAATATTAAATGTATTGATTTTCGTTCAATTCAATTTCTTCGAAAAATATGAGCCTTAATGTTAAAACCGCATCGCGTTTTAAATTGTATTCTTCAAACCAATTCGAATGTTTTCTAACAAACAAGATCGTGGTAATTGGCATACCAGTTGTCTTATCAAAGCTCACGTATGCACGGAAGCACTAGCGCGGAAGTTTAAACATGCTTACTATGAATCTACGAACGCAAGCGCTGCTATATACGCATAGATGAGTAAACGTGCGTTTTGGAGGCCCTAGTTTACTAGATTTCCCGTCAATCTGAATTCAAACGTTAGGTTTACGTAAGTAGCGGTATGCACAATTAATTAGTGGCCTCACAATCACGAGCCACTCAAAGAAGATATTCATCGTCGTCAGCTTTCGTTCCAAAATCCGAAGTAGGTCACGAAAATTGATGGCCGACGTAAGAATCGATGAAAAATCGACCTCGTTTGAAATTAATCGTTCCCTCCACGCAAATGTAATGCGAGGTTTTTGCGAAGAATTATCCAGCGACAGTAATAGCGTTTCGATAACCTAGGAACATCTTGATTTATGTTGATGCTAATATGCGATAGTTAAACCTATAGATGTGAGAAATTACTGAACAAATTTATTTATGGTTTTAGTTTATGTAAATTAATTTTGATAGACTATCATCGAAAAATAAGTGTAATTTATTTAAAGAATTCTTTTCGTGGATAAATTAAAATTTTTTTATCGTAATATCCAAGTATAAATAATAAATCAAGAATTTTTCTTGTAATTTTACTAAATTATATAAATTATTAAAATTAGTCAATTAATTACGTACTAATTATTATCAAAATACGATGATCATGTGGGACTTTATATACAGATTGCTCTATTTTTCCCAGATATAGTTTTTTTTAATCGGATACTTAATTTGAATCAAAATTTTATCCGATAAAGACAGATCAATTCTGTACAGAACAAAATAGATAATGCGCCGATATTTTGACGAATATTGATGAGCTCATCTACTTCGTGAATTTTGTGTGTGCGAGCGTATCCTCAAGCACAATAGCGTGACAAACAAGAAAAATAATGAGAAATAATTTCAAGATCAAATAATCACCGTAATCCTATCTAGCCCATTTATTTTAAGACAACGGATCTGTGAACTGTCCTGTTCAACTTCTGTATTATTCTTCTGCAAAATAATATTCTAATATTTTGCTTGATATATACACGAAACTATTATAATATCTAACATAATTTTCACAGATCAATTATCTTAATAAAAAAGTTATTGTACGACTCACCGATCGATGCGCAACAGCGGAATTATCTGCAACGTAGACTATGTTGATCTGTAACATACAAATTATTACAAATATAATAATCCAAATTAATGCATGCAGTGCCCAGAATAATTAATATCTATATAAAAAATAATTATCGAACGCGTTAAATTTTATATTTATCCAAGTAGATGCTTAATAAAATAATTACATAATTTTCGAGAAAAATGTTTATTAAGCATTTTCTTCTACAAAATTTCATAAATAAAAATCTTTGCCAATTCTTGTTTTTCGAATCAGCTGAATAAACAATCCAATTAATGGAAAATGGACGGATACTTTCGCGTGAGATATAATACATACAAATCAATTCTTACTCACTCCAAAGTTGCTCCGCCGGTGCCCGATGCTTCTCCTAAGCCTCCTCCTCTCAGGCTGTCCCAGTTGTCAGCTTCGTAGGATTGACGCGATTCACTCTCCGTGTCGTTATCTTCAAATTCATTTGAATAAATTCATTCAATTAAAGAGGAATAGGTGATATTTTCGTATATAAAATAATATATAAAAATTAATTACACTTTAGGCAGTCAATTTGTCCAAGTTTATCAATTTCGTAGGACTTCCTCGACACGATACTCGCGAGAACGCGAGTAACTACGGTCGCGCGACACTTTGTACCTCGCTTTATACGGCACTCGCGAAGTTAATGCAACGCGACGAACCGGCTACGGTTCGTTCATTCAATTAAATCGGCGGCGATGAGTACATTAAGCTTCCCTGTCGTACTGAACTCTTCAAGGTACTAAGCACCTCCGCCACTTCAAGATCGCGGAAGGGTTATCGTCGGCAAGAAGTCATGTGATTATCAGTGCAAAAACCCATCATTACTTTGATTTTTAATCCGATGCTTTGTGTATTATGCTTTGTGTAGCATTTTGTAGCTTATGTGTTAATAAGAATGTTGTTGGCCTTTTCTTTCTCCTCTTAGGTTGACAGATTGCGTTCTATTTTATACTATATACACTCGTAAAAATGTTGTTATTATTATCGCGCGATGCTTTGTATGGCACCTACGAAGTTCAAACTTAAGATAAAATATTATTTTATGTATTATATAAGTCTTTGTTACTTAAATATTTTAAATCATCAAACCCTATGCTTCGTACGTTACACTGCGCTATTTATCACGATATGCTTAGGAAGATCGTGAACATAATCATTTATGTAGTAAGCTAGGTGTGCTAATGTTTGATATCGCGTTTCAAGCAACAATACGAAGATACGCGAAGCCGTTCGTGCCGCTGTTTACTCGAAGCGTCGCGCGTCGGCATGCGAATGGTAGTGCGGCGATCTTGTGTACCTACGCAGCAGCATGCTATACGCCGCGTAAACAAACGCTAAAGATCGCATGCCAGCCAATAGGTATGTCGTTTCCACAAAATATTTAACTGTAAATAAACGTATGCCGAATATTCTTTTTCTTTCATTTCAAAATAACTTTTATGACTCAACTGTTATCAAATATCTCACTCTTTGTTTCGTAAACGCGATTTGTATATTTTTGATCCTGATCCGAAATTAGAATCGAATGGGTGAGTCACACTTAAATCGTAAAATGCAAAACGCTGGAAAATATAGTTCGCAAGCAAATATCGTTAAAGGAATATACGTCGCTCGTAAATATCGCACAATAAAACGATAATTTATTGTTACAATAAAACGATGATTTATCGCGCAGTCTGCTTCGTCAAATACCTGTTGCCTTGATCTACTTACGAGTCGTTAATTGACGGATTAATTAATTTCGCGGATTGTTAATTGTTAATCATTGTTGGGAATAATCGGATTTGTGTGTCTCAAGGTGTAACGCGATGATACGCGAGAGAGATTCACCTTATTACCTAGCTGCTTTCTCGAGTGTCGGCGCATGAATGGCGGCAACCTATGATATTACGCAACAACACACAATATGCAAAGCATTACGTGCCAACTAGTTTATCGATGAAATATTTAACAAATTTTATAATATATGCTGGATGTTTAGTTTATTGTTTCTTATTTCAATTTGATAGTGTGATATTAAATGATCTACTATCGCATAATTTACACTTTCGTTATTCGTTTATCTGTTAATGTAAATTTATTTTATCTTGATTATGTATTTATACGAAAATTATGTATTTTTTACTAAAAAACATTTATTATCTTATGAATTAATTTATTATTATGTCTTCATATCAAATTTTTAAGTCGCAGGAATATTAAATTATGTGCTTTAATAAATAATTTTTCTCGCCCTTTTTTCTCCCTAAATCATTAACATAAGAAATTGTATATCTTTTTTATTTATTAATGCCATTTAATTTTACTCCTCTCCAGAGGTAAGTATAAAAATAGTAAAAACAATTTTCGTTTTTCGATATAATCGGAAGCTGTCGCGTGTACCTAATCGAAATATTCGTTCAACAGATTGCGACAATTTAAACCGGTTTCAGCTACTTCAAATCTACACCCTTCGCAAGTTTCGCCAGTTTATTAAAAAGAAAAACATCTCTGTAAAATTTTCCATCGGCGGATGAAGCGGAAGTCTAGTGCTCGCGAGAGAGATTCGAGATCGCTTTCCGATAACGCGCGCGCGAACCAAGCCGGTCGCGTCGGCAGATTTAAGACATCGATAATCGCTCGTCCGACTGCTGCGCGGCCGGTCGGACGATAAATCGATCGCTGCTCGTAAATCTCGCGGCTACGTAAGTTTCGCCGCTGCGATTTACTACGCCGTCGGCGAATTCCATCCGTTCGCGAAAGTTCACGTATATATATAGAATTAAATTCGCATCAACGGCCGCGACTTTTTCGCCGTATGCGCCATGCACCGGCGAGTTCTCTTTTCGGCGAAACTTTCGAATTCGTCTACCTATCGGCTTCCTTTTTTCGGTCGAGCGACGCGCGCCAGATGGCTGCCCGCTTCTTGCCACGCTTTGGCATTTCGCGAATCCGTAATTACGGACGCGCGCGTGCTTCGACACACAACTAGACAGCTAGAGATAGGTATTATAGATAGGTATTGGCAGGCCATTCGATTCGAATTACTGCAAGGCATGTGTGTGACACGGTATTCAATATTTCTGCCAAGGCACCCGGTAACACACTGTTCGTTTGCTATTTCTTCGTTTCTCTCTCTCTCTCTCTCTCTCTCTCTCTCTCTCTCTCTCACACCCTAGCAATTATGCATTAAGATTATCCACTGCAACATGGCGATTATTTTTCACGACAGCAATATATCGAATCAGTTTGATTCATATTTTACGCATATATGTTTGTCATAATCAATTTTAAATATAAGTGCAGTAAAATGTTATAGTAAATTGAAAACTTATTAATAAAGCAATATTTGTCATTAACCCTCAGGGTACGATCTATAAAAAAGTTACGTTCCGTACGAACATGGGTTAGCCTAACCCGGCGACTTTGATTGACTGTATATCGGGCTGTAATTTATCAATTGAAACAAATTTTTTTTTCTTTGGATCGGAAATTTTCTCAAAAATACAATGGCGTTGGTAGATTTATTACCTTATTTGTTTAAACAAAGATACATTTGAAAATGTAAACCATTCTCAAAAAATTTTCATAAAAATTCATTTTTTCTTTTAAATTGCATAACTTTATGAAAAAAAAAGATATCGACATTTTTTAAGTCGCGTTTGAAAGCTAAAAAGTTGTTCTTTGAAATGGCTGAATTCGTTTTTTGATCCATTCCAAAAAATATATTTTTTTTTAATTATGAAAATACCCGTTTTTTTGCGATAGCGATATAACGTTACTTGCTTGATTTATCGTAATAACGCAAAAAAAAATATCTTAAAGTAAAAATAGTTCTTTTGGATGTTGTTGATTAGTATAATATAAATAAATAACAAAAATTGCATGCACGGATACGTTATGCTGGTATGCTACAGAGCATCATTTTGAGGTTAGAATGCACAAAAGTATATAAAAAATAGTAAATTATACATACCAGAATACTCTACAGCAGCAAATACTCGAAAAACACAAATTTTTTTTGTTTGAAAAACACGGATTTTGTAACGTTCCGTACCAGCTGGGTGTAGACTACCCGAGTTCAATTTTCAAATTCGTTTATCTTGAGCACCAAGCGTAGACTGACGCTGCCCCTTGGCGCTTACATAGTAGCTACCTCAAAGATTTTTCCCCCCCCGGTACGGACCCCCACCATTCACTTCCTTTAAAATGGCGCTACTTTCAAAATTCGGCTCGGGTTACGCTAACCCAGATCGTACCCTGAGGGTTAATTAAAAGAGTAAACAACATTACATTTATCCCGATTTAAACTTTCTCTACAATACACACGAATTTATACGCATGGATTAATCTGGCGCTCTATACTTCAATAAATTTCATTTCTACAATTATATTCCCATGCAAATTTATTTGAAATAACTTTTTACGAAAAATAATATAACCACCAACGAAAAATATGTAATCAAAATATTTTCTCTTACTGCAATTTTTTGCAAAAGTAATGTAAAAATATACGTTACTTTTGTAAAAGAAATCTTTAGCCGGCACATAAGACCCTAATGCTCTAACGGAAGTTTTGAGATTTTAGTACTGTTATTTACGAGCCTCTCTCTTAGGATAAAATAGCTGCTGCAGGGCACAGAAAGTCGTTAAAGTTTCACAAGAATTTTGCTGCAATTTTGCCACAGTATGTATAGTCATATGCACGCAATCATATTCCCGTCTCTGTTTCACCGCAGATTAAACAACGATCGTGTGAAAGATAGGCGCACTATATAATATAGAAGAATCTGATCTTCCGGTCGAAATAGTTGTTGTTAATCTTCAAAAACTTATCCCCAAATTAACTTATTAAAAAGAAATTGTAACAAAATTACTTTCAATTAAGTTTGGATATTGACTAAAGCAAGAAATTATTTTTGCAAACAATACTCCTCTCTGTTTAATAACGAAAACGATATTTTTCTATATTAAGCATTTCGCTTAACAACATATTTTCTTCAATTTTTGTTCGATTATCTCTTTTAATTTGCAATTGTAATATATTTTGTAGAATTACAGTTCCATCATCCAATGAAAAATGTAGCGTTCCGAATGCATGTCTGTTTCCGTGGGATTAAAATTTGCATATACCGCTTTAAAGCTCTATCTCGCCGAAATTGAGCCACCACCACAGGGCAAAGTAAAGATTAACGTTAAATTTCCCAGCTGAATAATGGCGGGCTCACCGGTTTGCGGCCGTGATTTCCTGCCATGTAAGCGTTGTCCACAATATGCGAAATTTTCCGTAAATTTTTTCCACAACAGCGATTTTTCTTGGATTTCAATAAAGCGCTGGATATATGTTCGAATATTTGTAAGTCGGTTAACGCAGTCAAGATGTCGCGGTAAAATATTCAACGTATTCCGTCACCTCGCGCGTTCTTAGATCCCTATATGGAATTTTTC